CAGAAATGTGCAAACAATATTTTCATTTTCTTTGTTTTTTATGAAAATCATGGCTTGAACTCCGAATATGCGTCATCTTACAAAGTGAAAATTTACCTAGGAAATAAACTGGAGTTACTTCCCTTATCGAGTTTGCCTTGTCATTGACATTTCACAACAATAAAGAGCAATGTTGTGAATAAGAAGGGTCAGAATAGGTAAGAAATGAACAAATCTCCTTTGTAGATCTAAACAATATTTGTATTGCAACAAGTATGTCTATTCATCACCGATAAATTGATAACATAAACTAAAGAGTTTAACTCATACGAGGGGAAAATTGTGCAAATGCAGCTGTTTTCAAGTTGTATTTTTATACATATTAAGTGCCAACCTCAAGCAAATTGCTTTTGCCATGTTTCAGCGTCACGATCCCACAAAGCCATGTGACCATTTTCTTCCATCCATCCATGACCATCTGTTGCCCGTGGAATTGGTTATTCAGCTTCCAGACAGTTGTACCATATTGCAGCTCAATAGTTTGCTCTCAGGATGTAACGTCCGCGGTTCAAAAGCAAATTTGTCTTAAGAGTAAGCATTTATTGCCTGACATGCTGAGAAATATTTGTTTTACTTCGCTCACAAATCTACAACCGTAAGGCTTCCAGTCACATGCGGGGCGATGGGGTAGCCTAGTGGTTAAAGCTTGCGCTCGTCACGCCCAAGACCTGCGTTCGATTCCCCACACGTGTACAATGTGTGAAGCCCATTTCTGGTGTCTCCCACCGTGATCTTGCTGGAATATTGCTAAATGCGGCGTAAAACAATACCCACTACAGTCACGTGCAAAGTAAATAATTTACCTTAGAAAGAAGAGTGGTAGAACCCAATATCTTGAACAGCATTATATCTTCAGCAACATTCAGCGCTATGATCCACTAACATATCTGTCCGACATGTCAAAACCATCCTTTGGTTACCAGGCGTGTAAGCCCGATAGGTTGCAAAGCTTCATATTTAGATAGCATTGAAGGCTTGTCTAACCTTTTAAGCAACAATCATGTGTAAGTAGCCCGAGCTTTTTTATAATGGCAGCTTCGGGTCATGTGATATCTCTTTGTCCAGGTGTCCTCTTTGTTCTTTGTCCTTGACACTCTAGAAGATCCGGATTACAATTCGTCTTCAGAAACCCCTGCTTCTTGAAAAAGGCCAATAGGCTAATAGTTTGTGTTTCCTAAAGACACGCACTATCATTCACAATTCAAACTAATAGAAATTAGTCTCTTTATTTCATCATATTCCCATTCCCATTCGAGCTGGTCAGCTCGAATCCAAGCAAACATCCATCTTTTACATCCAGCGTGTATTTCGAATCAACCCTGTGCACTTAAACCCACGAATCCGTTGGTAAATGACCAGATGGTGGCCACATAAATACGTGCAAACACCTAGTTGCGGGTACAGCAAAGAGCAGTAAACGTGGACAAAGTACTTTGACTCTGTGTCCTAGTCCAGCCAGCTGTGAGTGAGTACTTCGCATCAATTTGGTGCGCCTAGGGGCTGCAAAGTTGTATGGTCCCCAGGGAGTTGAGATTGAAAATATGATGTGCGTTGAGATTGACATCCAATGATCGAGGGAAAACAATACCAACGCCTTGAGCATGTACTAGTGGCGTGGATATGTGCGCTATGTACATATCCTGTAATAAAAAAAATATCCTATAATAATACAGAGCACTTGAGCATGCATGTGAGATGGACTATAGTGCTATATAAATACCCATCTAATATAACATATAATAATACTAATCATAATGCAGCCCATGAAGCTCCTTGTTAGAATTGATCTTCAGTAACCCAAGCTTATCGTATGAGACGACTAACAGGATCGGGTGGTCAGGCTCGCTGACTTGGTTGACACATGTCATCGTATCCCAATTGCGTAGATCGATGCTCATGGTGTGATCACTAGATTGTCTGGTCCAGAATCGATTATTTACAGACCGCCGCCATAGCTGGAATATTGCTGAGTGCGGCGTTAAACAGCAAAGCAGCAATCTAATATTGCAACCATTTTATGTACGGATCCTCATTTAATCATTATCCAGGTGAGTACACGTTCTGATAACACCAAGTACATCCTGGATTTCCGATTGAATAACATCCCGTTCAGAGAAGGATCGATGTTCTTGGCGATATCTGAGGAAATGACATCTCCACTCTTCATCGTGCCCGATAATGGTAAAGTGTAGTTCTATTGCAAGTTTTTGATTGCACTGATTCGAGACACAAGATTTATACTATTACCGGTGTCACATTGTTAGGGATCTTGAATCTTAATTATTAGGCACGCTATCATCGTGCTGGAATATTGCTAAAAGCGGCGTAAAACCAAGCTCACTCACTCACTCTTAGTATAGTAGTGGAATCGGGGGTAAGCCAAAAGTTTGTTCGGAAAAATCCGAAAGGATCACGAGGTATCCTTGTACCTTTTCACAATAAATGTATCAATTTTGTTCTGTAGATATAGCATGTGTGCATGTGTGCTGTCTTATCTCTTATCTCGTATAAACCTCAACCCTCCCACAATATCTTTATGCGCTTTTCCTTTCAGACCACAATGAGGTGATTTAATGCCGATCCCAGAATACGTTTTTGATCGAACACGCGTGCTGGCGTAAATGTCCTGAATGGCCTTATCTTGTCAAGTGGTATTTCTGTACATACTTTAAATGCAGTATTCAGGGTAAACATGTGACACGCAGACAGGCAGGCGCACACACACAAACATGTGACACGCAGACAGGCAGGCGAGCTCTCACTCGCGCGCACACACACACACAGACACACACACACACACACAGAGGTAGAGAGAAACTCACCAACCCTTTCATTCTGTTAAAGCGTTTAATATGTACTTGATTGTGACATTTTATTTTTTGCATGAAATTGAAAAACCTCTTTCTTCCCTGCGTCATATTGTTTCGTGAAACGTTATCATAGTATTGCACGGAAATCTAAAATAGAATATTGATGTAATGTCATAAATGGTGTCTTTTAAATATATTTCAGCAGAGGTTATCAATATTCAGAACTGTGCTGTATTGCATGCAATTATTGGCATTCTGGTGGGGTAGCCCAGTGGTTAAAGCGTTCGCTCGTCACGCCGAAGACCCAGGTTCGATTCCCCACATGGGTACAATGTGTGAAGCCCATTTCTGGTGACCCCGCCTTGATATTGCTGGAATGTTGCTAAAAGCGGTGTAAAACCAAATTGACTCACTATACACTACTTTAGATACTAACATTGCCACACAACTCCACAATCTCACAAGGAAACTTGTGTTCAGACAAATCAACAATTGACGAAAAGATTTGAATGAAAATGACCCAGACGTTTACCCTTTCGGTGAATTCAGGATTAATGTGACAAATTATATGTTGACTGTTTCTTACAAAGAGAGCGGATTTCATTCAAAGCTGTAACCTGAAACGTATTCCGTACAAAGGTAGTACAGTCATTGTGAGCTGGTCCATGGCGACCGCCAGCTCTATCGAACCTCGACAAAACACATTTGTAACGTGGTTAAACAGAATTGCTTCCACACAAAGAACGTGGATTGTCTATTTTTGTTCCTGACGTGTTTTGTACAGAGTAAACAGACAGATTTTCCAACGTTGTTTAAAGCATTATATCAATATGAAAGCATACTTTACGCTCCGACATGTTGCCATGCTGACCTACACCCAAACATGAAAAATACTATTGCTACAAAATTAAATAACATAAATGTCCGCACCGAAACATTTTTAAAAATGGTTCATTTAAAATAACATGTAACTCAAGAAAGGAAGAGCACAAATAAGAAAGTACAATGTAGTTATTGTATATATTCTACACATGGTTCAGGTTTGTTATCTTTAATGATTCATGAGGGTAGAAAAACCGTTATTGTCCTTTATGTAACGTTGGAATAGAAAATGAAATTAATTTTGCACTGATATGTCCTTGTTATCACGAATTAAGGTAGAAATATATACCAGACCATTTACTAGCATAACAACCCCTGTATCCATATATATCTTTGTTACAAGCTAATTGTTCAATTGACTTAGTATATAAAGCATGCATTAGCAAATACAAATCTTATAAAACGAATGGCATACCCTTAAATATCTATGTGAATATAGAATGTTGCTATATCACTGTAACTCTCATGTATATGGGAGGCCTTTCATACAATAAACATCTTATGAGTGTGTGAGTGAGTGAATATTGTTCTACGCCGCTTCTTGTATCAAATGTGAGGAACAGAACCCGGGTCTTCGGCGTGCCGAGCGAACGATTTAACCACTAGGCTAAACACACACACACACACACCCAAGCTAACCCCCCACCCCCCACTCCCACACCCAAAAAGAACAAACTAAAAACCCCAAAACAACAACAACAACAAAAAACAACGCAAAACCCCAACAAACAAACAGACATTTGTACAAGTCCAGGGAGAGACATTCTACACCACTTACATTCATTCATTTAGGCATCTTCTTGAGAAGTTTGTGGAACTCGGATGGGAATTATGCTTGAAATATACTGGACAAATAAAGTTAGGGAAATTGGTATTTTTATGATTGATATTTTATCTGTGTGTCAATGAATATATAGATCGTTATTCATAATTTCAAAATTTGCATATATCTCTAACTATTGTTGTCCAGTATATTTAGTAACCGATGCAGTCAACCGCACTCAAACTCAGAACCTTTCAGCCCCCGTTTTACGTACATGGGCGACCACAATATTTATCTGTTGAAGTTTAAAACATCAGACTTTCTCTCGCATAAAATGAAATATTGCGCAGTCATTTAACTTTTTTTTTACTCGATAACTAAAGATTTCAACGCGTTTAACATTGTGCAACTTTGATTGTACCCGTCGAGCAACATTCAAGCTGCATGACTCAATGTTTATATTTAGTACATCATAAACTTACGACAGCACAAATATGTGAGGAACAAATGCTTTTAGTATTCTTAAGAAATATAGCTCTGAATAGACACGACACAGTGACAACAGTCAGCAGTCTTAACGCAAACTGTTTGTATTGATACTTCTGATTGTGTAACACAGATTTCACGTCCAGAAATGTGTCAACAGCTATGAACATTCTCTATCGCCAGTCAAGACATACAGAGGGAAGTTGTATAGATCAATCCCACTACATGTACTCCTCAATAGTATCAACACAAGGACTGGGAACGCACACAATTTTCCTGGAAGGAGCTTCGGTAACGCTGTGACAGGTATCGGCTGTGGTCACAGAGAGAACTCTGAATTTCAAACAGTATGTATCATTTGTTTGTTTTGATTGTTTTTCCTTTTCACAATTCTTTAACACACGTTGACCCCTTGGGTTTTACAGGTGCTTGTTAACACATGGCAGTTTTATCAGACACATTATAGGTAGTTTTGGTTTGGTTTGGTTGTTTTAACGCCGCATTCAGCAATATTCCAGCTATTCCTGCGATCTGTAAATAATCGAGACTGGACCAGACAATCCAGTGATCAACAGTATGAACATCGATCTATGGATACCATCACACGTGTCAACCAAGTCAGCGAGTCTGATCACCCGAACCAGTTACTCGCCTCTTACGACAAGATTCTAACCCGGATCTTCACATGGGTACATTCTCAATGATCTTGGCGCTGCTTTCGTCGATGAGCTAGGGGCTCGGCACCCTTTCCTCGTCGACAGGGGATCGAACTACCAGCTTTCCTTTGTCAGTAAGGCTTCATCAGCGAAACCATGTTTACAGTGTGTGAAGCCCATTTCTGGTGTCCCCCATTGTGATATTGTTGGAATATTGCTAAAAGCGGCGTACACCTAAACTCTCACTCACTCACTCATATATCGTGTACTTATACCATTCGATTTTCCCGGTGGGGAGATATTGGCTCATGGCCCAGCCGTACAGGTTGTTTGCGTCGAGATAGAGTATGCGGTTGGTCGGTTTGGTCGAGTCATGTCCGGGAACGTACTGGTTGTTGGCTTCGTATCGTTTGGATGCCATGGAAATCCCGCCTCGCAAGACTTTCTCCGCGAAAAGGTGCATGTCATAATCAGTTAACAATTCCAATTCAATTTGCGTCTTTTTCAACAAGGCATCCCAATATTTTCCTGAATATCTCGAACACGTCGGCCAGCAGGTACAGGTCGTGGTAGTCGCCCAAAGCCTTGCACTCCAGTTTGTCCCACACGTTGAGGGCATGCGCGTAATCGTCGGGGGTGATGGCCGAGTCGGTCAAGTTGCTGTGAAATCGGTCGATGGGAGGTAATCGCGTCTCGTCGAACCTGGACCAATCGTTCATGTATTCATAGGGGTAGACGCCCTTCCGGAGCAGAGGTCGAGTCTCGGCGTCGGTGTATTGATTGGTGATGTCGAAGTCGTTCGGGCCGTTGGCGTTCACCAGGCTATGCAGAGACGACAGCAGGAACTGAACTGAGTCGATGAATTTCAGACCGTTAAAGGAGAACGAGATGTATTTTTCCATGTTGTTGGGGATGCACGTCAGGTTGCCGTCGACCTTCGAGATGGCCTGCATGATCAAGTGAGCATCGTACCCACGAAGATTGTGGAACACAACAGAAATTTTGATGGTTTTGGAATTGATTTTGAGTTTCAGGTTGCAGGCGTTGTGAGCGGCGCCTTGGTACTTGCCGGTGACGTGGCAGTGATCTCTCACAACATCCCCATTCAGGGGTTCGTCGCACACGTGGCAATTCATAGACTTCTCATGAGTTCGCCACTCGTCTTGGTTCATGTGAATGGGGGCGATGGTGTACAACTGCTTCCTGATGAATTTCTCTTAGTTTTGCAAGCATGTGAGAAATCGTTCGGCCGCGTCAGGATCTCTGTAGACCACGGGAGCGGTTGTTTGCCCGTCGCATCGAACGACCACCTAACAGATCCCGCAGGCTTCATGCTCTTGCCATCTGTCCCACGCTCCGGCAAGTCCCGCTCCGTGGGCTTTGCAACGACGATAATCACATTTCACGCCCACGCAAAACATTTCGCACGTGTTATTCACGGAACCCTTTCGTATGGACATCATGTGTATGCCACAATATTCAGTGGTGCATTTCCTGCCGCAGGTTTCGGTTTTTCCCGCAGCATGTACTTGCAGTTTTATGGTGCATGCCTTCCCATCTTTTTTCTATATTCACATAAATATATTTAAAAAAAAAATTAATTTAATTGTTTAGCGATCAACACTGTCGCAGCTAGACCCAGCACTATGAAAATCAGTTCCCGGTCTTTCTGTTTTGGGTAAGGCGTGTAAAACTGTGAGAGGGTGGGTTCGTCGTTGCCGAGAGATACGAGTCGTTTGCCGGTGAGCAGATAGTATTCTCGCATGGCGTCGTCGACGTTCTCGAACGTTTTGACGGCGTGGTTTTCGCGCGCGAGTTTGTCGTTGATGAACTGTTTTCTCTGCACGTGTCCTTTAGCGTACTTGGCTTGAGCGGCTTGCAGTTGCTCCAAGGACAAATCGTGATGTTTACGTTCCGCTTCCACCTCGACCGCGTTCTACGTTCGTAATTTGGAGAAGAGATAATTGCTGCCTGAAAATGCGAGGGCCTTGACTAATGCACCACCGACCATCATGGCGATCGTAGCCATTCTTCTTTTTTGGCATAATATTACTTCAAAATATTTTTTGGTATAATTCCTTGTTTCACGAGAATGTCTTTGGTGGACATCGCCATCCCTAAGTTCATGACGAGCATGCCCATGTCCTGCACGTTGAAATCGAGTTTGATCGTAGGCTGTTTGAGAACCATTTTCATCAAGCGAGCGTAACCTACGGTTAGTCCGGCAACCATGGCGGCGTGATATGCGTAACAGGAAGACCAATAGTTGAGTATTTTGCTTGTCCACTGTTGCTGCAAGTTCATTTTTTTCATTGACTTTATTTCTGCTACCGCTGCTATTTTGTTTCACACTGCCATTGCAATTCTGTTGCCATTGAATTTTGTACTGCCACGTGATTGTTTTTGTGTCGCTGTACTTAGTATTTGTTTATAATCCTACAATACACTTGTTGATTGCATGATATTTATTTGAATTTTGTTGGTTTGCAAAATAATGCAAATACATCACGGCGATTGAGGCCACCAAGGATAATTTTATATGTTGGATCGCCCAAGGAAATTTGTACAATGTGTAAGGGTAAGAATATCAGTCCCCATTAGTAGCACGCATCACAAACACATGCAAAGGAAAGTAAACTTTTCATCTGACAAGACACGGAAACATACTGAGCAAGTCAACATGTGGAAAGTATGATCATGTTTGTCACTTATGCGTTAAATCTATAAATAAAAACTACCATACACTACTTTTTTTTGACGCCGAGTGTTGTAGTGTTGACCAAACAACTTATAAACAACCTCAATCGAGGTGAACGTCAAAGGCTTGACTTGCTTGACATGAATGAATTATTGACTATCAGAAACGTAAAGTCTCCGTGGTCTCATTGAGAATATGTTTAAGAATGCAATAATAATGAGAGACCACACAAAGGAGGAACCCTTCTCAAATATAGTTTAAAAATTAAAGCTGTCAGATAGATGTCGTATTTTAATGGGAGAAGGTATTCCATACAAATTAGCTTTCAGTCAACTCGCATCCCACGCCCAGCGATGACATGGTTGATAAAGGAAAGCATTTCACCTTCTGAAATGTAACGTGTTTACGACGTTAAACGTGCTTTTGTAATTCAAAAGATTCATAAAAGCAGATCAAACTGAAACTTTGACCATATGACTTACTGCATTGTCATATTTGAATGTACAGTAGTAATAATAGCACTCATAGTTATAGTAGTGTCTAGACAGTAATTCAACACCACCAAGAAAAGTTGCAAGATTAACACTCTCAGGTTTACTGTCTTGTTACTGTTTAATAGTATGTCATCTAGACTATCTGTCTTTGGACTTTTTAGGGAATGTGTCATCCCAAACATGACACATGGTCCATGTTTAACTCACTTTCGCCATATTTATGACTTAATCCATGTCAGGTGACTTTGCTGCTCGGAGACGAAAATCAAGAAAGTAATACCTTAGCCTAGGTGCTCATAACAACGACTCCCTCGAAGTGATGATACCTGAATACATAGATGCATGCATAATCTGCAAGCTATCGACTCCAGGCTGTCACCTGTCAATGTATGTGCATTGTTATTATGTTTATCTACAAATTAGACCACATTGTTATTGAAATGACCACGAATACTTCATTAAAAGTCATCCTTGACCCTCCTTCAATAGGATACTCTTGACTGGTTTAAACGTGAATGGGTGGGCTTGTGTTTTATCATTGTCTTGCATGATGGTTATCTGCAGCTTTCTTTCATTTAATAATTTCATTAGAAATTCTTGAACATTTAAATGTAATTTTGATGTATTTAGTTATAAGAATCGGTCTTGATATGTCTTTTTTTGGCGTTTATGGAAGTATGAACTCATAAAATTGTAAAGTTCACTGAATATATGTTTCCTAAACACAGTTACGTTCATCATAATGATAATTGTTATGCAACTGTGGCCAAAAAAGTTTGTAAAATTGCTGAAGCGAAGGACAGACGTTTTCAAACGAATTTCTTTTCTGAAAAGATAACATTTTACAACCTTATCTGTAATAAAACGATGTGCTGAAATTGTTTTGCCGTCATTTATAAGAAATACAAAATGTGAGAATATAATAGATAGTAATTTCTTTAATGCCGATATGTAACAGCCTGGATGCCAGGAGGACATGTTTTCCCCTTCAATTCAACCATAGCTTTGAAGCCGGAAAAAAATCAAAATATGTTAAGCACAGACACACACTTCACAATTTTGAATTCTGCGGGAAATGTCCTGAATGTTGACATCACCCAGTGTCATTTTAGGTAAGCCAAAGTGCTTAAAATGACCCCTCATAATAGGTAGATGGTAAACGTCCCCTTTTTTATGCAACATTTTTTAATACTTTATACGTCGCCATTTTATACAACATTAACGGCGTCATTTTGTGTCTGTTTTGAACGACAGCACTTGTTATCTGCATTCCTAACTTGTTTAACTCCGCACTGAGCCATGTTCAGGTACATGGTCTGCAAATATTCGAGTCTTTACCAGTCAATCCAATGTATGGATCTACACAAATGGGAAACATCGCAAAGGCTTGAGAATTACGCACTGGTAATTAGTTTCACTCGGGAAAGATAATCTGTCATTCCCCATCACTCTTTAGTTACTGTCTAATTAAGCTATTCATATAAATTAGTGTCAAATTAATATTATAGGCCGTCTGGATTTCTCATCCGCCTGAATTTACTGCTCCACAACAAACTATTTCACGCCGAACACCCGGGTTTAATGTCCCACATGGGATCAATGTGTGACGTCCATTTCTGGTGTCCCCCTGCCGAGATATTGCTGGAATATTGCTACATGCGGCGTAAAACTAAACTCACTCATTTCAAGGAATAGCCTTCGACTGCAACTACTATACTAAGCTGGAATATGTGGACAGACAGTCCTGAATTCAGAAAGTCATACTTAACTATAGCCATTAAGGAATGTAATTGTGGACATTTCCAGCTCACTGTCAAGAGGACAACTACGATGTTGCTGTCTGCCTTTATGAATCGTTTGTATTGCATAAACATATGTTCAGCTGTAACCATGCTGCATTTCCAAGAGTGAATATTCAGTGAGCTCTTCTTTGTCAGACAGATAATGTGACTCGTATTGACTAAAAAAAGCATCTCGCAATGCCCTTTGAGTCTTTAAGCAGCTATAATGAATGAAAAACGATTTATGTATGACAATGATGTCTTTTCAATTACATTTGAAATGGTTCGTCCCATATGAACAGCACTCCCACCAACCATTGCGCCCATAACCAGGTTTACTGTAACATAAAGCTTGCTCGTTGTAATAACTGAATACAAGACAGAAATTTAATTCAATTTGAAAGTTTCTCCATGATGGACAGGCTTCATGTACAAAAAGGCAACATAAAGTGTACCAAATTTGTTTTTTATCATTGAATTTTTAATTTGATTGATTTTAATTTGATTTCTTGTTAAAATATATTCGTGAACTTAGAGTGGCCTCTGAGTCGGATCTGTAAGCAGGGTTTTTGTTCTACGATATATTCATTTAAAGGTAATTCTGTAAGGCTAATGTCGAAGAGATACACGCATGTTTTGTGTGTCATTTCATGTCTGTCTGAAACAATATTTAAGTGATTCAAATAGTTTGCTTAAGAACATCATAGTGTCCGAACTGAGGACTGGGAATTGTAAGAAAAAACAACATGTGGTGAAGCAAGTTGTCACCCACTTAAAATACATTATAACCTCACAAGTCTGATGATTTTTATAAATGCTTACTACCATCTTTGGTTTTCTTTGAAATGGTTTTGTCGTTTGAATATAACAAGGTGCCTTTCATAATTTTCAGGTGTGGATAATGAACCATCTCATTTTGAAATCCATGAAAGTTCTTGATGGACAATGACAGAAGCTGGTCGTGAAATATCAGGTAAAACAGATCACTACTCTTTGTGACGTCACCGCCTTTGTTAGGGCAATGTTGCACATGCCATCATATACCATCACTGAAGAATAACTCATCATAATTGAGACAAATAATACTAACTAATAGAACAATGAACACTTCATGCGGCAATACACTGGCTTTCCCAATCCTTCGAATCTTTGGGATTGTTCCTTTGTTCCGTTCTGGCATTATTTATACTGTTGAACAAAGAAGTCATACTCGAAAATAACGTACGATTTCCAAAACTGTAAAACATATAAATTCTTTAGTTATAGTTGTTTAATATAAATGAACAAATCTGAAGCTCGTCACAAGCCAAGGACAATAGGGCTTTATGCTACTCCAGATGTTTCATCAATGCTCCATATTTGGACCATGTGGAACACCAGTGCTGGTCAACCTCCATTAGACCAGGGTTATAATACTCATACAGTTTGTCAGCACAGCGGCTCAGTGAGTTCAATTTACCTAGTTGAGTTGAGAGAGAATGAATGTTACATGAAGTCACTCATCATTGTTGCTCTTTGCTGTTTCCCCTGATGACTGAACCACGTGTATTGTGATATCAGCTACAGATTTTAAAAAACGTTCATCCAAAGGAAATATACTGAACCACAAACGAAATGTCGCACCGATAGCGGTTTCTTAAAGCCCACAATTCACTCTAGTTAACAATCAGAACGGAGGAGTGAGTTCAAACTTGACAATTATGGTTAACACACTTTCGGGAATCACATTTAGAGTTCACACAAACAAAAAATGGTACCATTAAAATACCCAAAAGTCAATATTGTGTGTGGCCTCGAGCATCGATGAAAACGTTGCATCGGCTTTGGTTGGAGGTCATTCAGTCTTCTTTGAATCTCGTCCCAAAGGTGTTCTATTGGACTCAAATCCGGGCTAAGTGCAGCTTATTGTAGTGTTTGGATGCCATGTTGTCTTAGGAAGTCCAATGTTGCTCTGGCAGTGTGGGCACGAGCGTTGTCTTGCTGGAAGATGTGATTTCTGTAACGTCCAAAATGTGGTACATGGTGGGGGTCTTATGACTTGGCCGAGATTCTGGAACACCACGGTGCCAACTATCCGGTTCAGACCGATTGCACCCCACACCATGATGCTTGGACCACCCCACGAGTCTCCACAAACTTTTAACATTGTCATTGCATATGTGACAAAATTAGACTTATAAATTGTGAATAAAAGATTAAGGTGAATGACACTTATATTACATGACTTCAAAAGGCCTGTTTATCATATTGGTAATTAAAATGTGACTACTGATAAAGTAAGCGAAATATGTGTACATGTATATTACAGTAAAACGCTAACTGTAAATGACATCCGTTTGGTAGGCTGGTATTGGGTATTGGATGTTTGCGGACCCATTACTTTCATTCGGAAGGAATACAGTGACGGGGAACAGATACCTTGTTTTGTACTTGCTGTGGCTACTATTTTCGAGACACTGAACTAGCAATCTTTTCTTGTTCTTTTCCAAACATGTATGTGGCGAAACATGCGCATACACGAAGACGAGAGCATGAAGTGAAGAAAACGTTACCAACAGGCAGAAACCACATTATCAGTGGTTCGAGTTGTGAAGGGAGCTAACTCTAAATACAGTTTGGAGTGATGCCGTTTAGTTTTGTATCTGGGAAAAATATGGCGCTAACAAAGCAATGTATCGTCTGTCACTATATCCATCATTTAAATGCTCAGGTTATTCTGTAAAGAAAGACCATTTCCATCAATACGAATAGCATTATTGTGCTTTACAAGTTTTAGGCGTGTTTGTCATTATTACCGCAGCTTCCTCCCAAAGGGATTGTGGCGACTGCATTTAACCTCTCGTATTGAGAGGGCCCCTCTCAGAAGACACCTGTGCAAGGTTTCTCTGATATGCTATTGATGCCTTGCGGTAGCGAAATTGCAAGTTGCAAGACATCCACAGAGGCCTCACCGGGATACGAACTCACATTGTCGAGTTGCGCTGCTCTACAATATAAGATGGATTCCACAGTCACCTGTGACTTGAGCCACCGCAGCTCCGATAGCTAGATGTTAAATCATAGTAATCTATACACGGCTGTCCATCTCTCTTTCTCACACTGTGTGTACGGTGATCGATAAGTGAATCGCAGAGCTACACTGAGCTGGGAAGCAACTTGTCATTCTTCTCTGATGAATGGTCATCTCTGAGATAATACAGATTGGGTTAACCATCTCGGATATCGACTCAGTCAATGCTGTAGGGTTTCAGCGACCAGATTAGATCCGTTGAACGCTTTCTGCTATCTCCCTCGTGTTCACCCGGCTGTTACAAATACCTCATGCTGATCCTGTCCAGTAGCTGTTTCTCTATTTTGGCATCAGGTGGTCCGGACGATTTGATGGTGACGGATTTCATTTTGATGGCTTCGACTGGTCTCTTGCCCATGAGTCGGGATTGATCAAATCTTGGGAGTAGTGGTGGAGGAATAGCCGCTCAGCCAAGGTGCAATTAAATCTCTTGTCTATGGCTTGGCTTTGATGCGCTCCAGCTGTACCCCGGCTGACTTCGACTTTGTGCTTGGCTAACAGCTGCGATACGGCTCCCATGAACTCTCGTCCCATGAACTTGCGACTCCGGACGAGTCTTTCGTCATCAATGGTTCAGGTTCTTTGAAGCGACTGGTGACATCCACAATGGTCAGGGCATACTTGTTAATTCGACGTCTTGTTAATTCTGAGACTATATATCGCGTGCTTCTCACTTCTCAGCATGTTCGTTTGGTGTTTGAAGGTCCGTATTTTTTCACACCTTTCGCCTTCTGATTTTGTCGTCATCGGTTTTCTTGATGAATACATTTTGGGTCTCAGGCCTACATATTCTGCGATTGGCGTGCCTGCGCATTCATCTTTCCGAGCGCCTTTTTGTTGACTTGGCTGTGCAGCGGATGGTCTTTGGGATAATGGCTCGTGTTGTACAGGCGCATATGTTTCGCCATGTCCTCGTACACGTCCTTGGGGTGGGTTTTCATCAGCAGCGAATCCATGTCCGTGTACAGCACCTCGCACCGATCGCCGTACTCCGTTTTGAGTTCGTTCTAGAAAAAGTCATACATCAGGTGTTTTAACAAGTCCAGGATTCACATCCCAACATAAACAGGCTGGTTGAATTTGATGTGGCTTTTGTTCATGTGCAGCGCTGCCAAGTGGTTGGAGAATATCATGTTTCGGTTGAATGCCGGGCTGGCTATCAGCTTCCTGATTTTTTCTTCCTTGTGAGCTCGGACCAGTTTCAAGTCAACTCGCCTTCGCAGATTTTCCATGGTTTTGCCGAAAACCGAGTTGTTCATGAGTTTGTACAGATTTTTTTCGAAATCGCTGGTGGCCAGTTTTAGCAGATCCGTCAGTTTGCCTTTTTTGCCCAGCAAGTGTCGCTGGTAGTCTGACACAGCCAGTCTCGGTTCAGCATCAACCTCTCGGGAGCCAGCAGGTAGGATAGTCCAAGTAGACTTCGAGTATGTAGCTGACGCTCGAATCTGGAGGATGCTCGCGATGTCGCCGATCATGCTGACGTCGCACCTCTCGAATCCACAGGTTGTTGTCGTCGAGGTAGAGTATGTGTTTGATGGGTTGCTCGTAGCCGTCCACGTGCTTGTTGTTGGATTTGGCCTGGCGGATATCAAAGACGTTGGCTAGCAGCTGCATGTCCGTTTTGACGTCCGTTAAAGTCTTGCAGCCCACTTTATCCCACACGTTTGTTTCATGTGAGTAATCATCCTCACTGATGACTGAGTTGGTCAAGTGACTGTAAAAGCAGTCCATGGGAGGTAATCGCGTTTCGTCGGATCCCGACCAGTCATCCATGTACTCGTACCGATAAATGCCCTTTCTCAACAGTAGAGGCCGGACCCCCTCGTCGGTGTATCGATTGCACATGGCATCCAAACTCTACAATAGATTGCACTCAGTCTTGATTTGAGTTGAACAGAACACCTTCGGGATGCGATTCAAAGAAGACTGAATGACCACCACCCACGGCCGACAACTGCTGCTACACTCGATCAGGCATTTCACAGAGTATGGAGCCTAAGTGCCTATGGTCTTCATCAACCGGCTAATTCATTCCATGTACAGACGATGCAATGCTGCCATCAATGCCCATAGAGGCCACACACAATACTGACTTTGAGGCATATTAATGGTACCATTTTTGGTGATTTTGTTTGTGTGAACTCTAAATGTGATTCCCGAAAATGTGTTTACCATAATTGTCAAGTTTGGACTCAATCCTCCGTTTTGATTGTTAATGAGAGTGAATTAAAGTGTGTGCTTTAAGAAACCACTATCGATGCGACATTTCGTGTGTGGTTCAGTATAGTTGAAAAGGACATTTAACTATATATTAAAGTAGGTAGTGGCAAGTGCAAGCCGGGTCATTTGCCAAATCAAACCTTGAATGGCACCATAAGTTTTGTTCCTTTATCTTGGGTTTGCTGACACTGATTAACAAAGCACCCTAAATATGTTTTAAAACAATTGTTTGTGTTTGAACAATTTTGTTTTTGGTCTGGATGTATTTGTCTTCACAGGGACACAATAGAAAACTCGTTCATATTGCATATGACAGAAGTCAGGCAGTGCTAGTGGCAGTAAAACTCTCCAAGAAGGCATTCTTGTCTTGTGGTGTACCATAAGGCTCTGTTCTGGGACCAAATTCTCTCCCTCCTCAACATGAATCGGCATTCCTCAATTACACACAAGTTCAACACCCCTCATTAATCCATTTCTGCAAAAATAGAATACACCAGATCGAATTGCTTCTTTAAAATCCAAGTCAGATCACATAACTCCTGTTCTCAGATCCCTGCATTGACTGTAAGCTCATCTGCATTGTCTATAAGTGTCTACACAGAATACATCCAAGCCAGAATAAGTTCCTGTGAACAGACCCCAAGATCTGCTTAACTTCATTCGGCAAGCGATCTTTCCGACGT